ACACTACATGCACCACACGTATATATGTATTAAGGGCACTTATCTAATCTGTTACAAAAAATGTCAGCTTTTCTAAGGAAGGTAGAGAAATCGTGTTCATTTGGGATAGTATATTGTTGTCCTGTTGATGTTTTCCTTACTAGTATTTTCCCATCTCGCGTGAAACACTGATGTATTTTGTTTTCCTGTTTAAGTTTTCTCAGCCTGAACAGAAGGTTTTGACGTTTTTTTGTTAGACACACATTTATGTACACTCCATTCTTTCATTGTAATTGCTGATTTAATTAAGTCCTTCTTTTATCGTATGAATGAAGTCGGATCATTATACTGTGTTTACTTCCTGGTTTTCCTAACAAACGTGTTTCTTTGATTTCATTGTTTTGCACGATGACTTGTACGTGGTCCTGTATTATCCTGACAGCAGTTTCTTTGCACTGAGCTTGTGTTATGTCACTAGGAGTGTGTGGACTGTTTATTATAACTGCATCAGACAACTTATCTTGTTCAGTTTTGTCGTCTTGGAAATCAAGGTATTCATTTAGTCGAGTGTGCATGTTCTGATTCCAGTCCTTGATTGCTTCTTCAACCTTCATATTTATTGTTGTTATTTGCTCAGTGTGATTGGCTATAGCTGCTTTTAGAGTATTTTCTGTGTCAACACTTCCCGATGTAATCTTCTCTTCAAGGTTTTGGATCTTATTCTCGAGGAATTAACAAATAAAGTGTGTGAGGGGGGGATCAGAAAATAAAAAGAAAGGGTGCCCCCACCCCCTATTTGAGAGAATTTTTTAGAAATTGTGTGATCAAAATTAAAATTCATTATTTTTTTATAATTTGATAGATTAAACTAAACTAAAATCGAACCTCTGCTTATGAGTTTAATCTGTTCCATGACCTTACTCGCAACTGGATTTGCTCATTTGCAGAGTCAGTTTTTCTCATTTAAATTAATTGAAATGGAATTCGTTCCAGTGGAATTCCATGCACGAGAAAATACTCTAATAATTTCCCTAATATCAACTCTACAGCTTATTTATCTATCACAATTCATGTAATAACATAGAAACATGACATATACACTAGAATGAATAAAATACATGTCATTAGGTATGTGGCTAGTGGTGGTGACAGCAGCCATTGTTGTTGGGGTTTATAGGGCCACCACAGTGGCCAGTGTTGTTGGGGTTTATAGAGCCACCACAGTGGCCAGTGTTGTTGGGGTTTATAGGGCCACCACAGTGGCCAGTGTTGTTGGGGTTTATAGGGCCACCACAGTGGCCATTGTTGTTGGGTTTATAGGGCCACCACAACAGCCATTGTTGTTGGGGTTTAATAGGCCACCACAGTGGCCATTGTTGTTGGGGTTTATAGGGCCACCACAGTGGCCATTGTTGTTGGGGTTTATAGGGCCACCACAGTGGCCATTGTTGTTGGGGTTTATAGGGCCACCACAGTGGCCATTGTTGTTGGGGTTTATAGGGCCACCACAACAGCCATTGTTGTTGGGGTTTATAGGGCCACCACAACAGCCATTGTTGTTGGGGTTTATAGGGCCACCACAGTGGCCATTGTTGTTGGGGTTTATAGGGCCACCACAGTGGCCATTGTTATTGGGGTTTATAGGGCCACCACAACGGCCATTGTTGTTGGGGTTTATAGGGCCACCACAGTGGCCATTGTTGTTGGGGTTTATAGGGCCACAGTGGCCATTGTTGTTGGGGTTTATAGGGTCACCACAGTGGCCATTGTTGTTGGGGTTTATAGGGCCACCACAGTGGCCATTCCTGCTCCTGACTTCATGTGTAGAGAACCTAGGATAACCCAAAAAAGTCAGACAGAGTGACTTATAAATGCTACACTCTTAATGCTACACTTTACCACTGCTGCTTCATGTTGTCTGCCACTGCTGCTTCATGTTGTCTGCCACTACTGCTTCATGATGTCTGTCACTGCTGCTTCATGTTGTCTGCCACTGCTACCTCATGATGTCTGTCACTGCTGCTTCATGATGTCTGCCACTGCTGCTTCATGTTGTCTACCACTGCTGCTTCATGTTGTCTGTCACTGCTGCTTCATGATGTCTGTCACTGCTGCTTTATGTTGTCTGCCACTGCTGCTTCATGATGTCTGTCACTGCTGCTTTATGTTGTCTGCCACTGCTGCTTCATGTTGTCTGCCACTGCTACCTCATGATGTCTGCCACTGCTGCTTCATGTTGTCTGCCACTGCTGCTTCATGTTGTCTGCCACTGCTGCTTCATGATGTCTGCCACTGCTGCTTCATGTTGTCTGTCACTGCTGCTTCATGATGTCTGCCACTGCTGCTTCATGATGTCTGCCACTGCTGCTTCATGTTGTCTGCCACTGCTGCTTCATGATGTCTGCCACTGCTGCTTCATGTTGTCTGCCACTGCTGCTTCATGATGTCTGTCACTGCTGCTTCATGTTGTCTGCCACTGCTGCTTCATGTTGTCTGCCACTGCTACCTCATGATGTCTGCCACTGCTGCTTCATGTTGTCTGCCACTGCTGCTTCATGTTGTCTGCCACTGCTGCTTCATGATGTCTGTCACTGCTGCTTCATGATGTCTGCCACTGCTGCTTCATGTTGTCTTGCACTGCTGCTTCATGTTGTCTGCCACTGCTGCTTCATGTTGCCTGTCACTGCTGCTTCATGTTGTCTGTCACTGCTGCTTCATGTTGTCTGTCACTGCTGCTTCATGTTGTCTGTCACTGCTGCTTCATGTTGTCTGCCACTGCTGCTTCATGTTGTCTTGCACTGCTGCTTCATGTTGTCTGCCACTGCTGCTTCATGTTGCCTGTCACTGCTGCTTCATGTTGTCTGTCACTGCTGCTTCATGTTGTCTGTCACTGCTGCTTCATGTTGTCTGTCACTGCTGCTTTATGTTGTCTGCCACTGCTGCTTCATGTTGTCTGTCACTGCTGCTTCATGTTGTCTGTCACTGCTGCTTCATGTTGTCTGTCACTGCTGCTTCATGTTGTCTGTCACTGCTGCTTCATGTTGTCTGTCACTGCTGCTTCATGTTGTCTGTCACTGCTGTTTCATGTTGTCTGCCACTGCTGCTTCATGTTGTCTGCCACTGCTGCTTCATGTTATCTGCCACTGCTGCTTCATATTGTCTGTCACTGCTGCTTCATGTTGTCTGTCACTGTTGCTTCATGTTGTCTGCCACTGCTACCTGATGATGTCTGCCACTGTTGCTTCATGTTGTCTGCCACTGCTACCTCATGATGTCTGCCACTGCTGCTTCATGTTGTCTGCCACTGCTGCTTCATGTTGTCTGCCACTGCTGCTTCATGATGTCTGCCACTGCTGCTTCATGATGTCTGCCACTGCTGCTTCATGTTGTCTGCCACTGCTACCTCATGATGTCTGCCACTGCTGCTTCATGTTGTCTGCCACTGCTGCTTCATGATGTCTGCCACTGCTGCTTCATGATGTCTGCCACTGCTGCTTCATGATGTCTGCCACTGCTGCTTCATGATGTCTGCCACTGCTACCTCATGATGTCTACCACTGATGTCGCCAAAGAATCGAACATTTCTGCTATTTTGAGCTCAATTTCAATGTTCTTTTCATCGTGAAACCAATTAAAATCATATTTATTTTTGTAGTATATCTTCCATTCTATCACATGAGACCAAATAAAACGAGAATACAACCATAAAAACCTACGAAATTATACCGCTAAGGGGAGGCTAATGGCCGAGAAGTGAACTCTGTTATTTATGGTCCAATTTCTTTCATTTATGGTATACATTAAGAAGCATCTTTTCATCATACATTGCCCAAGTTTCAGTAAGATAGTCCAACAAACAACTGAGATCCAGTTCCCTAGATCAAGAGCAAGAGCCCCTCACCAGTGTCAGTTAACCTCCCTTGGAGCCTCAGCGCTGTATAGCCCTTGTGGCTTAGCGCTTCTTTTTGATTATAATAATAATCCCTTGAGGCCCGCTCGCATCTAAAAATTTTGCTCGCATCTGGAAGCAAAAAATCGACCGAGCAGCTGCTTGTATTTGGAAAAACTTGCACATGGATGCACTCATAAGTAGAAGTTCCACTGTATTTGTGATTAAATTTTATAGAGAAATTCAGTTTTTAGACTTACGTTATCTTAGCCAGGCACAAATACTTATTATACTTACTTGTTATATTTTATACATTCACTATGAAATTATTATTATACAATTTTTTTTCTGTTATACAATTTTTTTTCTCTGTTTTTTCCTAGAACTTCTACGCCAAAGATATGAATAAACATAGGCTAGACATTATAATTATGATGGTGTGCATGATGTTACTAAAGTGTCCTGGAGGATGTATGCCCATAAGAGAATTAATATTTGAAGTGTTCTTTAAGATCCAGGGTAAATTAACTAAAAAGTAAAAAACAAGTGAAGAAGCCTTTCTTGGCCATAATAAGCGGCCCTCTCCTAATAGGGTTAATTTTTACAAAAAGACGCACTGAATCAATTTCTTTCTTGAAGTTAGACGGTTTTGATTTCTTCCTTTTATAGATTACACTATTTTAACTTAAATGGCTAGTTGGTCGGTTGGTCGGCCCATTAGTAAATTATTATATAAAAAATATATGTAGATAGATACTGAAAGCGTGACAACAAAGATATAAATAAATACACACTGGCAATTATTATATAATGTAGATGGAATATATTATAAACTGAAAATTATAGTCAAAGTTATTCTTAGTCAATAAAATTGAGAAAAATAAAATTAGAAGTCTTCTTTGAAACCCAACACATTTTTTTTTCGAAAACTGCTGCTTATCGCTCATTTTAGTTCATTTCTTATTTGTAATTCAATTTAATTTCCATGCTGAGGGCTCCTCAAACCTAAAGTGCCACAGGCTCCCCAAGGTCTAAATCCAGCCCTGACTTACACTATCCTGAGCTTGATGAATTGTCTAGTTGCATTTAAATGCCACTTAAGAATTTCATCACTTGATCTATATGTTCACAGGCAGTGAAGTCAACGAAGGCATGGCTTCTTACAGGAGGAATGTACGTGGGTATAATGAGGAGTGTGGGGGAGGCTGTCAACCAGGGCCAGTTTATTGTCAAGGTAAGTAAATTAGTTAATAAGTTAGTGAGGTCATTTGTAAGTTAGTAAGTTTATTTAGGTACAGGTAGACATAAGTACATACAATTATAATACATAGTACGTAACATGTGTAAATTACCCACCAGGATAACCCAGAAAAGTCAAAGTGACTTATTTCCACTGGGGTATAGTAATATTCTTGTTCACCTCCTGGTTTGTTGTGTTTTGGGCAGACCCAATAAACATTTCCCTCTTTTAATATCAGTACTGGTAAAATGGGGACTGTCTGCGCAAGAGCTATGGCTCCATTCTTTGCAGGTATAACATGTTACCATACCTGTATCCCACTTGGAACCATTCTTTTTTTTTTTTTAACAAGTTGGCTGTCTCCCACCAAGGCAGGGTGACCCAAAAAGAAAGAAAATCTCCAAAAAAGAAAATACTTTCTTCATTATTCACCACTTTCACCTCTCTCATACATAATCACTGTAAAAAAATATTTTGGCAGTTACTGCCACAACCTGGATGGTTCATTTCATCTAAATTTTGCAGAGGTGCCCAGAACACAACAGTTTAGAAGCATATACGTATAAAGATACACAACATATACTTCCAAACTGCCAATATCCCGAACCCCCTCCTTTAAAATACAGGCATTGTACTTCCCATTTCCAGTACTCAAGTCTGGCTATATAAAAATAACTAGTTTCCCTGAATCCCTTCACTAAATATTACCCTGCTCACACTCCAACAGCTCGTCAGGTCCCAAATACCATTTGTCTCCATTCACTCCTATCTAACATGCTCATGCATGCTTGCTGGAAGTCCAAGCCCTTCTCCCACAAAACCTCCTTTACCCCCTCCCTCCAACCTTTTCGAGTACGATCCCTACCCCGCCTTCCTTTCCCTACAGATTTATATGCTCTCCATTCTTAGTCTCTTACAGTCTTTATGTATTTTTGGGTCTTTTTGCCTCGGTGGGAGATGCTGGTTTTTATTTTTTTTCCATATTTGTGTCTGTAGTTATGTCTTCATGTTTAAGTTTTCTTGGACATATATTACATATACATGCACACATATATGTATACACACCCATCTGAATATTCTTCTGTTTTCTTAATAGTTCTTGTTCTTGTTTATTTCCTCTTATCTCCATGGGGAAGTGAAACAGAATTCTTCCTCCGTAAGCCATGAGTGTTGTAAGAGGCAGCTAAAATGCCGGAGCAATGGGCTAGTAACCCATTCTGTATACATTACTAAAAGTAATTAGATAATTGTAGTATCGGTGTCCCTCTGGCAAAACAGTGATGGAGTGAATGATGGTGAAAGTGTTCCTTCTTTTTTGGGGGGCCACCCTGCCAGTGTGTGTTTTATCAAGATATATCAGACATATGATATCAGACATATAGAATGACATCTATAAACTACTTTGATAGAAAGCCCCTTCTTATGCAAGGCATTTTGTACAACTTTAAAAACCAAATTAAGATTACTAGTACAGTGGACCCCCGCTTAACGATCACCTCCAAATGCGACCAATTATGTAAGTGTATTTATGTAAGTGCGTTTGTACGTGTATGTTTGGGGGTCTGAAATGGACTAATCTACTTCTCAATATTCCTTATGGGAACAAATTCGGTCAGTACTGGTACCTGAACATACTTCTGGAATGAAAAAAGATCGTTAATCGGGGGTCCACTGTATTTGATTTTTTTGTCTCCCCAGTGGCATGGTTTCATGCATGGAAGGAGCGTGCATCATTGCATAACCACCTTTCTCACCCTGCACACTGGCAGCTCATACACTACCTTCCTTGACCTTAAATCTGCTTTTGATGTAGGCAACCGACATAATCATTAATAAACTTGCCAGAATGGATGTTGTTGGATGGCATCTCTGCTGGATTAAAGGCTACCTGTCCAACAGAAAGTTTTCTGTGTTGTTCCAGGGACATAGAAGTGTAACTAAAAACTTTGAATTAGGAACCCCACAGGGAGGTGTGCTCAGTCCCACTCTATTCAATATTCCAATTAATGCTTTATTTAATGCTATGGCTAGCCAGCCCCATTATTTTATGATTAGTTTTGCTGATGATATAATGATTCACACCACTGGATTCTCCAACACACAAAACATCCTTAACCATGTACTAGCCTCATGTCAGGACCTGGGGTTTATAATCTCTACTGATAAAACAAAGATAATCAATAGGCGTCCTTCTCGACAGAGAGGCACAGTTCGCCATATCCAATTGCATGATGGGTCTCTTATAGAATATGTAACCAGATACAGGTATCTAGGCTTTAAGGTCCCACTACTTGGACCTGTTGTAATGAGACTTTGTTGCCAATACAAAGAAAGGCTGAGAGCACTTAGAGTTGTGGCAGGGCTTCACCTCAGGTATGGTGCTAATGTTAAAATTGTGAAAATGATGTATCTTACTTATATTAGATCATTAGTTGATTATGCTGTGCCACTACTAGCTCTGGTGTCTGACTGGAAGCTTGGAGGGCTGGAAAAACTGCAGACTGAAGCAATGAGGATCATCCTAGGATGCCCTCGTACTGCCAAAATTTTAAATATGCGGAAAGAACTTGGTATTCCAAGCATCAGAGATTGTGCTACTGAAAAAAATATTATCATTGGGGTCAATATGCTTAGGCTAGTGCATTCAAACCCCTGCACAGAAGCCCTCCAAACTTTCCTCAGCACTGGTGAACACCCAGATGAATTGAAAAAAACTGGAATCGACCTCTGCATGAGCCAGCTACATGATCTATGTCAATTAAGGCAACAGTGGTACTTCTCCTCCTCCATGGGATATTACCCCATTCCAAACTACCATTCCTGGGTGGGTGCCGGGCACCCACCCTTCAATACCTTTCATCACCAAAGAATCGAACACTTGCGCTACTTTGAGCTCAATTTCAAGGTACTTGTCATTGTGAAAGCAATCAAAATCATATACAGTGGACCCTCAACTAGCGATATTAATCCGTTCCTGAGAGCTCATCGTTAATCGAAATAATCGTTAGTTAAGTTAATTTTCCCCATAAGAAATAATGGAAATCAAATTAATCCGTGCAAGACACCCCAAAGTATTGAAAAAAAAAAATTTTACCACATGAAATATTAATTTTAATACACACAAACTGAAGAAGACATGCACAGTTACATGACACTTACCTTTATTGAAGATCTGGTGATGATTGATGGGATGGGAGGAGGGGAGAGTGTTGATCTTCTTAGTGTTTAGAGGTAGCAAGTCTTTTTCTGGGGTTACTTCCCTTGTTCTTTTAATGCCACTAGGACCAGCTTCAGAGTCACTGGACTTCTGTCGCACAACATATCTGTCCATAGATACCTGTACCTCTCGTTCCTTTATGACTTTCCTAAAGTGGTTCACAACATTGTCAGTGTACAGTTTGCCAACACGGCTTGCAGTAGCTGTGTCAGGGTGATTTTCATCAAAAAAGGTTTGCACTTCAAGCCATTGCACACATTTCCTTAATCTTAGAAGTAGACAACTTCTTCAATTTCTCTATCCCTTCCTCCGAAGCAGTTTCCTCAGGTCTGCCCTCTTGCTGTTCAAGATGATCTAGCAGCTCATCAGTGGTTAGTTCATCATTGTCCTCTTCCACCAGCTCTTCCACATCCTCCCCACTAACCTCCAACCCCAAGGACTTCCCCAATGCCACAATGGATTCCTCAACTGGCATAGGATTCTCAGGGTTAGCCTCAAACCCTTCAAAATCCCTTTTGTCTGCACATTCTGGCCACAGTTTCTTCCAAGCAGAGTTCAAGGTCCTCTTAGTCACTTCCTCCCAAGCCTTACCTATAATGTTTACACAATTGAGGATGGTAAAATGATCTTTCCAAAACTCTCTTAGAGTCAGTTGAGTTTCTGAGGTCACTACAAAGCACCTTTCAAACATAGCTTTTGTGTACAGTTTCTTGAAGTTGGAAATGACCTGCTGGTCCATGGGCTGCAGGAGAGGAGTGGTGTTAGGAGGCAAAAACTTCACCTTAATGAAGCTCATGTCCCTAGAAAGTCGCTCTGCCAAGTCTGAAGGATGACCAGGAGCATTGTCTAATACCAGGAGGCACTTAAGGTCTAATTTATTTTCAATTAGGTAATTTTTCACAGTGGGGGCAAATGCATGGTGTAACCAGTCATAGAAAAAGTCCCTAGTGACCCATGCCTTACTGTCTGCCCTCCACAGCACACACAAATTAGCCTTGAGGACATTGTTTTTCCTGAACACTGGGAGTTTCAGAGTGATACACCAATAAAGGCTTCACTTTGAAATCACCACTAGCATTGGCACACATCAACAGAGTAAGCCTGTCTTTCATAGGCTTATGTCCTGGGAGTGCCTTTTCCTCCTGAGTAATGTATGTCCTGCTTGGCATTTTCTTCCAAAACAGGCCTGTTTCGTCACAATTAAACACTTGTTCTGGTTTCAGTCCTTCACTGTCTATGTACTCCTTGAATTCCTGCACATATTTTTCAGCCGCTTTGTGGTCCGACCTGGCAGCCTCACCATGCCTTATCACACTATGAATGCCACTACGCTTCTTAAATCTTTCAAACCAACCTTTGCTGGCCTTAAATTCACTCACATCACTAGTTGCTGGCATTTTTTTAATTAAATTCTCATGCAACTTCCTAGCCTTTTCACATATGATCGCTTGAGAGATGCTATCTCCTGCTATCTGTTTCTCGTTTATCCACACCAATAAGAGTCTCTCAACATCTTCTACCACTTGCGATCTCAGTTTCGAAAACATAGTTGCACTTTTGGCAAGAACAGCTTCCTTGATTGCCGTTTTCTTGCCCACGATAGTAGTGATGGTTGATTGGGGTTTATTATACAACCTGACCAGCTCAGAGACACGCACTCCACTTTCATACTTAGCAATGATCTCTTTCTTCATCTCCATAGTAATTCTCACCCGTTTTGCTTTAGGGTTTCCACTAGAAGCTTTCTTGGGGCCCATTGTGACTTATTTTGCAGGTG